GCAGGTCATGAACGGCCCACCCTCCATAATGTATAAATTCTGACAGACATATTCAACCTTTTCATTATGTCTGTGCTCGGATCGAATAGTTTCCTTGGTGTCTCCATTCTCAAGATGTGGTGGTTTCCCACAGCCTACAGGATCTACAAGAATGTGAACAATGATAGAGAATGTGAAAGTGTTGTAGGGTTGCCATTATTTCACCTTGAGTGACAGAGCTTGGACTGCAGGGTCGGCAGTTACACAACATTTCACAGTCAGGTGTGGCCTTCCAGATAATGTTCCTTAACACATTTTCTTTTGTTATTCTTATATTTTCGTCTGGTTTTGAAAAGTATTGTTTCTGTTAAAAGTTAAAGTTAAAAGATTGGAAGGCAAAGCTGGTAGGCTTTTCAAAAAGCACATCAAGAGAAGTAAAACAGGATACTTTAGTGGTCAGTGTGACATCCACATGAACACCAGGACCCAAAGTTTCACAGCAGAACATTGCAATGTAACAAAACGATCAAATCAAAGTGCACAATGGGGAACAGCTGAAAGCTGGTTCATAGATTGTCTTCATTTCTGCTGATGAGGACTGATAGGACAAGAAAAGAACTGACATGTTGGAAAGGGATCACTCCACTGTCCACTTGCCAAACATTCAACTGTTGCAGTTCCTTGTATAAAGTGTCCACGTAGAAGGCAAGCAAATGTTAACGTTTGCCCTTTTATTAGTTGATTTCCTGATCCATGTGGGATGACATATACACTTTGTGGTACTCCTGTGACTCTGCATGTCTCTAGTTTGAAGAAGAAAATCTGTTTTCTCAAAAGGTTTATACTGCATAAACAGCAAACTGTATGCTCAAATGACTTCACCTCTGTAAACAAATGTATGTAATTTCACGACTTGTTTGTCAATGACACAGTAAGTAAACAAAAAAAGATGACATACAAGAGTGTCAGTCAACACAGATTAATATTTTAGAGTAACAAAGGAACTCATGATAACTTATAAGTTATCACTGGAATCTGCTATTTTCCTCTTTGTTGAACAGCATCTTTAGTTCATTGTTATAATTCAGGGTTGTGCTGCAGCATCGTGTTTGTCGCTGTGTGTTTATTGGGTACAGCTGTTTTCAGCAACAAAGTTCAGCAGCGAACAGCAGACAGTAACAGACGAACACAGTGGAGCATTAAGCTACAGAGACAGATAATTTATCTTTAGAGTTTAAAGGAGACCAAATCAGTTAATATTGAATTCAGTTTACCAGGTGGTCAGAAAAACAACTCCAACTGAGTGTTGATGTTGCTGCGTGTCTACTAAATGTGTAGATAATCACCAGTGATGTGTTCATGGCTTTTTTTCATGCATACATACATATTGTGACCCAAGTGGCCAATATAAATATGAAGTAATTCAAACATGATACATTTAATAATTGATTAAATGGAATTACCATTTAAATTATTTCATTTAATTGTCCAATGAAAGTGAACATACCAGAGCAGGTTGGGAAGGGGGCACTCCACTCTCCAGTTTCTAAACACTCAATTTCTTCAGACCCATCCAGTTTAAAGTCA